TAAGCACTACGGGGAATCTGTAAAGTCCTGGACAAATGTGCTTTCTATTTCTAAGAGACTTCATTTTATTTCTAGATTGACAATTTGACATTATTCATAAGATACTATTTTTACATTAAATATAACTTTTAAAAAAGATATATTTTTAAGAAAAATCTCTAATAATGTCCAAAATAGAAAGAGAAATAGATGACCAAAAAAAGACAAAACTGGGGTGTGTGTATGTAATTCAAAGATTTAGAAACTTCCCAAAGATACTTAAGCTATTTGACTCTTAATTTATACTCTATATTAACTAACTTTAAATAAAATTGTTTGACATGATCTTCCTAAGTCAGAGCAAATGTAATACAGAATTCATATACTCTAAAATCTCTGCCAGTAACAGGGAATTTAAACTGAGCACTAATCAGCATTAATAACAACTTTCTTTCATACGCTTCTCCAAACTCCCAGAGTACTTTAGGCACTCTTAAAATATTTTACGTAGTTATTGCATTATTCTTTGAAATCCTTGACTAAGCCCATTTTACAATCTGAGATACCAAGGTTCATAATGGTTAATAAATTTGCCTATATTGTTACAGAGCTTAGAATTTACCAGAAAAGGATTTATAATCTAACCCTGTTAAGACTCATCTAAATCTCTTCCTGTGCTCACAGTCCACCCTGAATTATACACATTATCATGCTCAGTTTTTTCCTGTACTAGACAAGAGAACCTTTTCATTTCTGTATATTGCAAACTCCATGAATTTTAACCTTTTTTCTCCTTCCAAATTACTCAAGGTAAAATACATTCCCAGTCCTAACTTCCCATCAGTAGTTTCTTAATTCAGGCCAACAAACATTAAAATAAAGATTGCTCTCGAGCACAACTTTCCCTCTATACCTATTTTAAAACTACTATCTAAAAGATATGTGATTTAAACAGAAACAAGTAGTTAGTAGGCCACAGAGGGAGAGCTGAAGGTTTTATTTTTCCCACTCCTCAATTTCTTACTTATTCAGCACTGCATACACTAAAGTCCATCTGACAAAAAGGCACATACTCATCATAAAATATAAATACCATACTACACAAAAGTCAACAGAACTAATTCCAAGACCCATGAATCTTGTTTATCATTTTTTTACATTGTTCTCCTAAGAAAACACTACTAGATAATGAGTGGCATCAGAATTGACTTTATGTAAAAGTTCATAACAAATTATATAAATAAAACCTCAATTTCTACAAAACTTATTTTTAAAAACTATAGCAAAACAACAGATTTACTTAGAAATCACCTCTTCTTGAGGGCGTGGTAGTGCATGCCTGTAATCCCAGCAGCTCAGGAGGCTGAGGCAGTAGAATCAGGAGTTCAAACCCAGCCTCAGCAAAAGCCAGGGTTAAGCAACTCAGTCTCTAAATAAAATACAAAATAGGGTAGGGATGTGGCTCAGGGTTGAGTGCCCCTGAGTTTAATCCAGGGTACCTCCCACCAAAAAATTAAATAAATAAATCACCTCATCCATGAAACCAATCACCAATACACAGTATCACAAAATTAAGGCCCCTTTCCAGCTAATGAGATACAAATGCTGCTGAATATTTCTTCTTCTGGTACTTACAATGCCTGCCTTTATTGCAATCCCCATCCCTTACAATTATACTTAGGTAGGACTAAGTTCTACTGGAAATCTTTTCAATTGCCTTTGAATTTCCATCTAAAATGCTTTGATTCAGGCCCCAGACATATTTAATGAGGACTTTTATATACACTCATCTGACCTTTTTTCCATTCTCACAATCCTCAATCCACCTTTTAAATTGCTTCCTCTTTCCCCCACAAAGCATTCTAAAACTTGAATCTGATCGCAATTCCCTAGTGAAATGCTTTCTCAATTTTATCTCCTCCTTATAACTATGAAGTATACCTTAATATCTTAAGAAGTCAAGAGAAATTCTGTACAAAAATAATCTGTTGTTACTTAATTTAACTTAGCTCACAAAATATAAAGATTGAAAGAAACCCCACAATTTCCAATGTTAATTTTTTCAACACAATATCCAAAGTTTCCAATGTGACATTTTTAGGATTACCCTATCAGAACAGTATACTTTAGTTCTGAAACTGATTCTACATTAAAATCTTCTGTCAAGCTTGCTAAAAACAAATTCCCAAGCTCCATTTCAGACTCAGTGACTTTGAATATCACCTAGGAATTGAAACTAGCATTTTTTAATGATCTCCAATAATTCTGATGCGTATCTATATTTGAGAACCCAAACAGAAACTCCTTACTTCACAACAAACTATTAGTAGACATAGTTACTTCCACAATGTTTTATACCTCTGATCAACCTAAGGAGTACCTATTCATCTTAAATATTCAGATAATGCCCATTCTAAAAAACTTCCTCATCTCCTCTCACACCATCTCTCCTTTGATCCTCTAAACCTTTACAAAAAGTTTGCATATATTCATACACAGTCCTTCTAACCCATACAATCACGCCATGACATAGAATCTCTATTTCACAGGTAAGAAAACTCAATCTCCTACAGGAAGGTTAAGAAATATGTTTAAACTGATCCAGCATTTGAACCCACATTTATTGACTACAAAGCGATAATGTTTTCCATAGTGACATGCAACCTCTTATAGATCACTCAGAAGTACTGACTCATTCTTCAGTTTACACCTTTGTTTCCCTTTTTAGACATAACTATGCTTCCCTGAAGACAGGTATAAATCCTGAGTTTGACCTCAACATTTAGTTACTTGGTATGTTCTGTTGAATGAACAAGAAAAAGAAGCTCCTCAAAAGCCAGTACTATACTATTTAGGTTTCATTTATTGGATTCTTAGAACAAGCTCTGAATGTATTTCTTGCAAACACATTTGGCCTGACCTGCAAATCAGAAGCTGGATTTACAATAAGACAGTGTATTTTGGCATTGTTTCAAACTATGAAAAACTACAAGAGGGAAAAAAGATCATTCCAAAAAATTAAAATATCTTTCTTACATTACCCTCTATCAAAATGAGGACTTCAAATTTTAATCTTCACAACAATTTCATCCCACAAGAGCAGACAGCTATAACAGTGTGGTTTTAAACGACTGAAATTTAAAAAGTAAAATTGATTAAGAATAGATGACTTAATGAAATTAAGCACCAAATAGTGATACTCTTTTGGACAACCTACTTATGCTAACCAGTAAGCAATGCTTTTTCTCTATTAATATTCTCCCACATCTGTCATTTTTTTGAAACTAGAAATAAATACTATAGGTAAACACAAAGTAATTAGTATACTTGCGTATAAATGTAATGTCCTTCCTGCCTTGTTAATGTATCTGGTATGTAAAACATAGCACAACTACTTCCTTTTTGATACAGACATACATAACAAATGTAGTAAGTCAGCAAAACCAATATTTTTTTCTTTTTTCCACTGGCAGATAACTAAAGAAATGGTTATTCCCTTAACACATCTTTTTCATTTGGAAATAAAAAAGAAAAACTATTATGAAACAAAATCATATAATGGGAAGTACAAAGGGACTAGGCATCAGGAGTTCTGCTGGTTCTCTAACTTCTATTATCTTACTAAACTCTTGTGTGACTCAGGAGTCACTGGCTCCACTTTCTCATTTGTTTTAAAAAGTCGTTAGGTGAGGAGGGATCTGATTATCTTTGAAGTTGTTTCCCAAAATTCTGATTTTGAGACACTCCTCTTGTTGCATTTTTTCTAATCAGTTAACTGTGTTCTTCAAAGTCTAAATTCTTAAATAACAAACACATCTGAAATTGAATGTAAGTATTCAGTCTCCAACTGTTTGGTACAAGACACACAGAGTAAACTTCTATGAAGTTAACAATCTGATAACTTTCCAGAAATTGTCCCAATCTTGAATTCTTGAACAAGCAGGTGTCCTCTGACATTTTTAATAATATTAATAAGTTATAAACGGTACTGGTCTGCTGAAACTTCACTAAGTGTTCCTAGGTTCGAGTGGCACATACTTTGCAGGTAAGAGCAAGCAAAAAAGGGAAGGAGCCTCGCAGCATTTCAACAACCCACAGTCACCTCAGTAAGATCCCGACAAGGCCTACACCACGAAGCTGAACCTCCCCACCCCCAGAAGTGCCAGCAGCCAATGTAATGAATGCTTCCGTCAACAACACACATTCCCCTTCCCACAGAACTGCTCACTCCCAACCGGCCATCTGGGGTTGGAATCAGCCGCACTACACCAACCTAAGAATCATTCTGGGTCCCAAAGGCCGAAAACTACTAGATTGCGGTTTCCCTGCGCATGGCTGCGGGGAGAGCAACACCCCCTCCCAACAATGATTTAAAAAAAAAAAAAAAAAAGAATCAGTGAAGAGAGTAGAAACCAGGCCTAGGCGTCATTGCTGGAGAAAGAAATCCTGTTTCTCTCTCTGCAACGGGGAACAGTAGCATTATCTGCCCTTGCACTGATCCAAGAATGTCCAGGAACCTGCACATTAATTCATCCCCTCCTAGAATCCTAAAGGGAGATTAAAAACCCAATCTGCTTCATTCCCCAATCTATGCATTCCTTAAAGCTCTGGCATTGTTAAAGGTACCCTCAGTAGGAGGTGAAGCTAGGGCTAGAACAGGGGTTCGGTTAAAAAATTAAGGTGCTCATGCAAGAAGAAAATYCCTTGTGGTCTGAGAGTAAAGTTTGAACCAACAGCAAGGGCGCGGACCCGAGCCGGGCCAAGCTGGGCTCCAGGGCAGGCCTGCGGAGGTTGACACTCCCTTGTTCCTCAGCAGCTCAGGAGGCGGCGTCCGGCCGCTCCGATCCGAACCCACGGAGCAGGACAAGGGCGCMGCCGCGGGGCTCGGGCCGGCGGAGGCCTGGTGGCCGCGGGACCTTCCCTACACTGCTCCCGCCTCCTTCCTCATTCCCACTTCCCGGTCCCCCAGCCCAGGCCCGAAAGGTAACGTCCGGGTAGCGACGGGGGTCTCGGCCACTGACCACACATTTCTTGCCGAGGAAAGTGAAGAGGGACTCATTCTCCTGCGGGGTGAGCAGCAAAGACCCCACGTTGGTGACCTTCCGCGGGGGCGGCGGCTGCTGGCCGGAGCTCATGGTTTCGCCGGCGGGGCTGGGAGTCCAGGGCCGTCTCTTGGGCGAGCTCGTTTCCCCTCTCGGTGACAGGGGCGGGCAGAGGGATTCAGATGAGCAGCATCCCGAAGCTCCCGCGGAGCAGGGAGGAGGACAAGAGAAGGGGAAGCTGACGGCAGGCCGCCTTCGGGCCGTACTCAGAAAGGGAAGCTCCCAGCTCCCGCCCGGCTAGGCTAGGGCCGGATGGCCGTTGTCCTCGCACTCCGGCGACTGCGCTAAAATCCCAACTCCTCCTCCAACGCTCCCGCGGCGGCGGCAGCGGCGGCGGCCGCACAATCCAACATGGCAGCGGGGGCGGACGAGACCACGGGACGCAAGACGCGGGGGAGCGCGCCGGAAACGCGCGGCTGCGGCTGCGGCCTGGAGCCTGAGAGTAACCTCTCGGCTTGCTGCGGGCCTTGCTGGCCGGCCTGAAACCCCGCCCTCTTCAGGCCCGGCGCGGGCCGCGCGGGTCGCTCAGGGTCTGCGGTCCCGGGTGGGGTTCTCGACCTCCGGCTTCTCTGCTCACTGTTCGGGAACCCGAGTCCAGCCGCTACTACTTGGAGAGACGACGTGGGCTAGCTACTACGGCGTAGCAGTCTGCCTCCCTTCTGCGGGCGCACACCTTGGCGTAGTAGCGGGGAGCAGCAGGTCCCCCTCCCAGAAATAGCAGTTTCTCAGGGGGGCGGAAGTGGGGCGCTGAGGCCGCGGGTCCTGAAGGGCTGGAACCTGGAGACGAAGATTGGAAAGAGCTCCCGGTGCTGCTGGCTCCTGGTGAMGGTCAGAGCCGCAGGTGCCTGGCGTCTCTCAAACTTTGTCCAAACTTCGACACGGACAATGAAGGAACAAACAGGCCTCTCCCGGGACTGTGGAAGAGATTTTTATGGATGTCACAAAAATCGCACTTGAGAAGAGACGTTGTCGCCCTGCCGGTATGCCGTGGCACGTGGGATAAGTGTATTTGCAACATTTAAACGCAGATTCTTGTATGGGCGCTGAACACGTTTGTTTTTCCCTACCTCCATCAATTGGAAAATATTCCCTTCCCCCACCTTTTCCTCTATCTTAAATCCCGAACGCTTTGTTTTTTTATGAACTAAATTAATGTGCCTATTTGGGGATGTCATCCAGAAAAATATCTTCTCTGCTTTACTCCCTAGAAGTAAATCTCAAAAACTTTTTTAAAACTTGTATGTTTCAGAGTATTAAAAGTCAACCCCCTTTGTTGGGAAAGTCAAATACTAGGCCCTTGTAAAATGAAATTTTGGAATATGGAAATTATAAAATGGGCTGTAGTGAATTATAAAACATGTATGACTTATCTCTGTATTAAGCATATTGGAGTTTATTGTATGAATTTTACACATCATTTGCTAATTACAAAGTTTTAATAAAGTTGTATTGAACTTAAGACGTCTATCCAGTGATGATTAAGCTTTCAACTTTTCGACTCTCTYCAACTTTTTCAACTATCTGATGTTAATATCTCTTAACAGCTCCCATTAGAAATCTCTAATGTACTAAACAGGTATAATAAATCATTCTCAATTCACTTTGAAAATAGAAAAATTTTAAAGCTTCCCTTAATGAAATTGAGCTGGAAAAAAAATCTTCAAAGGAAAATGAAAGCATATTCAAAATTAAATTTGTTTAATGTGAGGTGAAAAGTGAGCAAAAAAAAAGTTATTTATAAAATATAAAATTGGGTTTAGGAAGGTAGTAGTAAACATGTAAACCTGGGGTTGCCTCTGAATAACACACTAGTAGTAGAAACCCAAAAAATAAATCGATTTGTCATTTATTAAAAATGCACCCGTTCCAAGTTGAAAGCACAGTGACAACAGAAAGCATTACAGATTCTTGATAAATGATAGAAATCAGGACCCTCTTTTTCTTTTCTTTTTTTTTTTGGTGGGGGCAGGATGTGTACTGGGGATTGAACTCAGGAGCACTATACCACTGAGCCATATCCCCACCCCTATTTTTTGTATTTTATTTAGAGATAGGGTCTCACTGAGTTGCCCAGTGCCTCACTGTTGCTGAGGCTGACTTTGAGCTTAAATCCTCCTGCCTCAGCCTCCTGAGCCCTSTTTTCAAACAGCTATACACCAAGAGCATAGGCTTCGGATAGGCCCAGATTGAAGTTCCTTATTCCTCTTAGAACCTTTTGGACTTGAGAAACATTTCTTTTCTGGCTCAGTTTCTTTATCTGTAAAATGAAAATAACTTCTGTTTTATAAAGGTATAGTATAAATAGGGATAATTATTCGTACTTCAGAGTTGTAAAATAAGATGGCCATAATGTACCTGGTACATAGTGGCTACTGAAGTTATTGTTGTCTGTTATTTAACATCCTTGCCTATGGTCTGTTCAGCTTTCTCTTAGGTAAAGATCAAGAGTTGAGTGAATTACATATTTTCAACTCTGCTCTATCTAAGCCTTATTATCCAAAAACTGTCCTCAAATTTAAAACTACATAATTCTTGAAATATATGTTGGTGAATTTGGAGCATAATCTCTCAGTAAAATTTCTAATTAGGCTATATGTTGTGAAAACTCAGCTATATGTATATCCCCATATGTCAAAATAGCAAAGCTTTTTTTAATATTGTAAATATAGAAATGGAATCCTATTATTCTGTAATCAATAAAAATTCAGGGGCTGGAAATGCAGTTAAGTGCAAGAAATTGTGCTTAGAATGTGTGAAGTCCTGGGTTCAATCCCAGCACAAGAAAAAAGAAAAACCTAGCAATTTTTTTCCTGTTCTTTTTAAAAATTTGTTCTTTCTAGATACATAAGACAGTAGAGTATATTTTGATGTAAAATTCATACTTGCAGAGTAACTTATTAAATCTCATTCTTGTGGTTGTACATGATGTGGAATTTTACTGWGGTGTATTCATATACAAACTTGGAAAAGTTGTGTCCAACTCATTCCCTCTCTCTTCTCTTCATTATCCATTATCAACTGAACTTATGTCCTTCCCCTCCCCATCCCTTGTGTGTTAGAATCCACATATCAGAGAACATTCGACCTTTGGGATTGGCTTATTTCACTTAGCAAGGGTACTCAATCTTTTTTTTTAATTGGTTCTTTTTCATTTAACATGACAGCAAAATCTACTTTTATAAAATTAAACAAGCATGGGATATATCTTATTAGGAATATATCTTATTAGGACCCATTCTTGTGGGTGTACACAATGGTGGGATTCACTTAGATATTTTCATATTTGTACATAGGAGAATTATGTTAGATTTATTCTACCATCTTACCTATTTCTACACCTTCCTTTCATTCTCTTTTGACTAACCTACTGAACTTTCACTTCTTCCTTCCCCACCCCCTTTATTGTGGTTTAGTTTCCACATATCAGCAAAAACATTCAACTTTGTTTTGGGGGGATTGGCTTATTTCACTCAGCATGATGATAGTCTCCAGATCCATCCATTTACTGGCGAGTGTCATTCTTCTTTATGACTGAGTAATATTCCATTATATGTATATACCTTCATTTCATTATCCATTTGTTTTCTGATGAACATCAAGGTTGGTTCTATGACTTAGCTATTGTGAATTGTGCTGCTATAAACATTAATGTGGCTGTATCACTGTAGTATGCAGATTTTTAAATCCTTTGGCTATATGCCAAGGAGTGGAACACTGGGTCAAATGGTGGTTCCATTCTAGGAATCAATCTAACAAAAGAGGTGAAAGACCTCTATAATGAAAACTACACAACCCTAAAGAAGGAATTTGAAGAAGACCTTAGAAGATGGAAAAATCTCTCATGTTCTTAGATAGGAAAAATCAATATTGTCAAAATGGCCATACTACCAAAAGCACTATACAGATGTAAAGCAATTCCTACTAAACTTACAATGTTGTTCTTCAATAGAAGTAGAAAAAGCAGTCATGAAATTTGTTTGGTAAAATAAGAGACCCCAAATAGCCAAAGCAATCCTTAGAAAAGTGAAGCAGGAGGCATCCTAATGTCAGACTTTGATTATACTACAGGGCTGTAGTAACAAAAACAGCATGGTATTGGTACAAAAACAGGCATSAAGACCAATGGAACAGAAGAGAAGACACAGAGACAAACCAACATTAATAGCAGTTATCTCATGGTGGACAGAGGTACTATAGACATACATTGGAGAAAAGATAGCCTCTTCAACAAATGGTGCTGGGAAAACTGGAAATCTATACATACATAATAGAATGAAATTGACCCCTCTTTCTCACCCTGTACAAAAGTCATCTCTAAATAGATCAAAGACCTCAGGAGTAGACCAAAACCCTGCACATACTAGAAGAAAATGTAGATTTAACATATTGGCACAGGAATTGACTTTCTGAACAAGACTCCTAAAGCACAAGAAATAAATAAAAAATTAATAAATGGAATGGCATCAAACTAAAAAGCTTCACGGCAAAAGAAACAATCAAGAACATGGAGAGAGCCTATACAATGGGAGAAAATCTTTGCCACCTGCACCTCAGAGCGTTAATTTCTAGGACATACAAAAAACTCAAAAAAGTCTAACACCAAAAATCCAAATAACCCAATTAATAAATGGGCAAATGAACTAAACAGACACTTCATAGAAGAAATACAAAAGGTCAACAAATATATGAAAAAATGTTCAAAATCTCTAGTAATTATTAGAGAAATTCAAATTAAACTACACTGAGATTTCATCCCACTCCAGTCAGAATCGTAATTATCAAGAATACAAGTAGTAACAAATGTTGGCAAGGATGTGGAGAAAAGTGAATGCTCATACATTGTTGGCAGATTGCAAATTGGTGCAACCCCTCTGGAGAGTAATTTTTCTGTTAGAAATGCCACCTTTTGAACTTTTAGATCACCAAACTATTTTGAAAGTTAGAGAGATGTGGAAGAGAGCTGGGGGGCGGGGTGCTATGAGATGGGAGGTGAAGGAAATAGGTGTACATTGGAAGACTCTATCCCATGCTCAGAACTATTGAATTCCAGTCRTTTTACAACCTTTTATTAGCCTAGACTATTTATTGTTGGAATTGTACACTTTCTTTCGAAAAGTTTTAAGTTTTGTCCAAGTGCACTTTTCTATTTGCCCTTATTATCTTTTCTTTAGGCTTGAAGACTGAAAATTATGGCCATAATAGACTTTCTTTTTCATGCCTCAATATTTAATTTTTCCTCAAAATTTTAAGTAGAGTACTTTACCCACAAAATCACAATTTAAGTTCTTATTTTCCACCCTTTTTGCTTTTCTCTAGACCTTTTTCAACTCCTTGATATTATAAAATATGGAAAATGTAAGCAATTTTGCTGCAAATGTGATTTCCTTGCTTGTTTGAGATTTTCCTCCTTCCCATACATAAAGGATAGTATTTTTCCACATTCATCCTGAGATCTGTAAATACTGGCTGTATTTGTTTCAAAAATTTAGCAAGTCCTTTCTGTCTTTCATTCTCGATAGTATATCCTCTCTTTAGCTGAACACTAGACATCTTTCACTCTGTTTTCTTTGGCATTTTCTTATCTCAAATTCTTTTTACCCAGTTTGAGAGACTGGATTTCATCCAGGAAATAAGCATTCTATTTCCCTTCAACTGAGAAACTTGAAGGTTTTTAAGCAAGGTTTAAAAGACTAGAGTTTTTTTTATCATCACATATACACATAAAAATACATATCCTGTATCAAAATTATTAAAATACAACAAAGAAGAAGAAAATTCTTGCATTTAATTTATTTTATTTKACTTTCCTTGCCACAAATAGAATCTATTCTTGTTCTTTTATTCTCTTCTTTCTCTGCTACAATCCTCTAAGGCAAACCCCTCATTTTGACAGAAAGCATTAAGGGTAGCTTATTTATGGAAGAGTGGGCATATTATCAGATGCATTCTCTGCTATTAGCATTATACTTCTCAAATTTCTCTTGTCCTAGTCCTCTGTTATTCATTTTCTTTACAAATGTCATTGATTATATATCACTATAAATCMTCTATTCCCTTTGTTAATGTTCATAATTTAAAATGCAGTGGCATCCGTCCCTGTGGGGGAACATGGAAGTAGTGGCACATCAGGATCTATGGCATTCAGAGCCATTGTAGGCATAATTACTGGTACAGACATACTGCTCGGCTATGGAAGAATTGAATTATAGAGACAAAATAGCAGCAAATCTGGATACTGCAGGGGCGGTGAATGTCATTTCTCTCAGGCAACCTCCAAGTGTCCTGGTTTTAAAATGTTCACCTTGTAAAATATCTCTGCACATTTTATGTAAATGTTGCATATTAGCAGTGCTTAAGAGAATTTGTCCTAGTACATGTTCTTCCAAGTTAAATGTTGAATGTTTTATTTTTCACCAACAAAAATCTTGAAAAGTAAGCAAACTATATTTTTCTTCCTCTCCCTTTTAAATTCAACTTAACTACAAGCATCTTTGGTGGGGGTGGGAGGGGTGAGGGGGCTTACTCTTTAAGAACAGAAAAGCTTAGTTACAACCCATTCAGATTCTAAAGATGTTAGATTTTAGTGGAAAATTGAATTCTTATCCATGCTAATG